GAAGAAAATATACAAATGTGTACAGTGTACAGGTGGATTAGTAAACACGTCTCATCTCTCTGGTCTTTTGAATGCCATGTCATTGTCAGGCTTCATCTCAGCTCTGCAGTTTGCTAATAGAGACTTGCAACTTGGACTTGACTAACTTGAAAGTGAACATTGACCTAGAAAGCACCACATAACTTATATGTCAACTTATATACGTTTAACTGGTGTAATCTGCTGACATTGGGCTGCTCTGTGGCAAAACCTGAGCCTGGCTGAACTTTCTGTCTGTCTTTGTCTCCCTGAAGCGAACCCGTGAAGTGGATTAGTGTTTGGCACAGATCAGACTACATCAGTTTGCACAGATTTCACCGTGAAGCCGATTAGACTAAAGCTCTTATCGTCCTCTCAGCATGGCCAAATACACACACAATCTAATGTTCTTTCATGTCTGACAATCAAACACAACATAAACCCAGGGTGTCCCTCCCACAGACTGTCGTCTTATTACTATAACAGCTCCTGCTGCTCGGGATGTAAATTAAAGTGGTGTAACTTTATCCCTCGGTGCCTCAGTGGAATAACACACATACCAGCTGTGACTCTGCAGCTCGTAGAAAAGAGCGACTCCAGCTGTACAGATGTGCAAGTGAACTGTCCACCAGGGATCAATAAAGCCTTACCTTTCTGTTGGTGTTCCTGAAAGAAAGTATTCCACCTCAGAGGTCAGTGTTGAGAAGGCTGAAGTCAAGGGGCACAGAGTATTATGAGAATAGTGAGAATCCACAGCCTGCCACAGCTATGTGTGCTACTGGTGTTTGTTGCTGCTTGTACTGTCATGTAATTGTTGCTTTTAATAACAGATTAGGGCCGTGGTTAAGTCGTGTTTTTTTCACCTAAGATTTTTATCTAAGGTGAAACCTTTTTTGTCACATGGTGATTTGGAGAAGGCGATTCATGCATTTGTTATCTCAAGGTTGGATTACTGCAATGCTCTGTATTTTGGAGTTCCTCAGTCTTTGCTCAACAAACTCCAATTAGTCCAAAATGCAGCAGCTCGGCTGCTATCCAATGCTCCCAGGTTTGCTCATATTTCTCTGATTCTCTGTGCTCTTCACTGGCTCCCAATCCAATTCAGAATTAAATTCAAGATATTACTGTTTGTTTTTAAGGCTATTCATGGCCTTGCACCATCCTATTTGTCTGACCTGTTGGCCATTTATGTGCCGCGGAGAGCACATAAATGGTGATCATTTGCTGATCATTTGTTACTGGTGGTCCCACGATCTCGCTATAAAAAGTGAGGCGACTGTTTGTTTTCTAGTTGTGGCCCTAGACTATGGAATGCCCTGCTGGTCATACTATGGGCGGAAAGCGATCTAGTGGCCTTCAAATCAGCCTTAAAGACCCACTTTTTTAAGCAGGCTTTCCTAACTTGTCTTTTGTTTTATGGTTTTAGAAGTTGGTTTAGTATTGCTCTGTGTTCTGTGTTTTTGATTGTACAGCACTCTGGTGCTCTCGTGAGCTGTAGAGCACTATATAAATAAAGTTTATTATTTAATAAAAATGGTATGTTTTCTTGAATTTGAATTCTAATGTATTAATGTATTATTACCTCGGCCAAGTTAGGTTTTTGGTTCTGTGTGTGTGTGTTGGTTAGCAGCATTATGGACAGACAGCTTGATGGATCATCAGCATACTTGGTACAGACACTGGTGGGGACTGACCCTAGGAGTGACTATATTTTGGCTGAAAAAGGTCAAAGGTCATGGTCACAAAAAATGAAAATCAAAAATCCCTGAAATGTTCATGTAAGGTGAACAGTACAACTACTTATCTGGATCCAACCTGGATCAAGAATTTCAGGACACATTTTATGTTCTGGATTTCATTTTTCACAATCTTTCTGTGTGTGTTGTGTTAAACATTTTTAATTGCCTTGTGTAAGAACATGTGCTGGGTGAACAGTGTATAAGTAAGGAGGGAGACTAACGAGGCGCAGCTGGTGAGTATCAGCGAATTGGGGCAGGTGTGTCTAATCGTGCAATCAGTGCAAGGGAGCTGACTAGTGCGAGGAAAAGAAGAGAGGAAGGTGACGCCGGCCAAACCTGACAGTTCATTTTGGCACTACTATGCCTTCAGTAAAGGGTTTAAGTTCATCACTGGTGTCTCAGCTCATCTCACTGCTGCATTTCCTCCTTCTCTCCTTCTCTGGCTGCTCAGACTTTGCCCCGAGCACTGTTGTCAATTTAGTATTGAAACACTGTAGTACTGAACCGTCTGAACTGGAGCCAGGGAGAGAATTAAGAAACCTAACAGAGTGACCAGGTTCATGTACAGTCAATTAAAGTACAATAAACTCCATGGAGAGATCTATGTGCAGTGTGTCTGCAGGAAATGGCCACATCTGTGACTCCTGATAATGTTGTAGATCACTGACTCACATGGAGCAGATGCTGATACGTCTGCCTCAGGAAAACTTATATAATGTATTTTGAAAACAGTCCAGTCTAACAGTCTATCCAGACACCAACACCGATGAATTTACACAACACAGGTTTCAGCTTCAGCAAAGTGGCACGTGAGACAAAGTGCTGACCTGCTGCGACGTTTCTATCACCACCCGAGGACGAGAACAGCTAATGTTTGCTCATATTCCTGTGAAAGAAACCAACGCTGTGTATCTGAATCGAACTCAGCGCTCCTTCTAGCAGTTCTTGTTGCATGCGTTTTCCCTTTCTGTAACGAATGTGCTGCATTTCTGGAACATTTCCCTTCATGTCCAGCAGAGAGGCCACCTAACAGCTCCTTTAAAACTAGAAGGTTCCAGGTTCAAACCTGCAGCTTCTCTGGCTCTGGGTGTGAATGGTTGTCAAGCCCATGACAGACTGGCGACCTGTCCAGAGTGCACCCTGCCTCTCGCCTGGTGCATGCTGGGACTGGCTCGAGATCTGCTTTAGTGTTTCGCATTCCTCCATGTTTGAATTTGCGTCTATTTTGTATTTGTTTTAGGTGAATATTCAGACAAGTATGTTGTGTATTTTATTATATGACACAGTGGAAAAACATGTAAGCCTATTTTTGTAACTTGGCCGATAAAACCCTTAAAAAAACAGAACCTCAAAGTGTGTGGCTGATTAAACACCTTTCTATCTAACATGTGCCCCTTCTCATGTGTGTTTTATCAGTGTGTACACCAGCTTGGGTTCTGTATCATTAGCATGCACGTTTGACAGGTCTCATAATCACACTGTAATAATTCTGTAACTCCTGATAACTCTGGCCAATGTTTCACAACACATTCTGTTGTGGTCTGAGCAGCTGGCTCTACCTCTGCACAACCACTTGACATGAAAAATACAGTTGGCCATGACTTCTAACTCCCTCTCTCCGCTCTGCTCCTTGCATACAGGTTGAACAGTTTGATAGGGTTAACCCTATCAAACTGTTCAACCTGTTCATAGGGTTAAGTTGTGGCCTTGTACGGCAGCAAGTGTGTGAAATTATGGTGAACATGGCATCAGGGAATGAGAATCTGCCACAGAGGAGGACACACGGTACCACAAAGGAAAATATATGCAGGAAGCTTTTAAAAAGAACTGACAGTGCATTTGTTTACCCTAATTAAATAAAAAAATGTGCATTACTCAACGTTATTATTAGAAAAAAGCTAACTGTAAAAACAATTTCAAACCAGAGGATCTCTAGCCTGTGAGCGTAATGTCCTGGCATCCATACACCATGTTATTTAGGGAGCTTCTGGACAGTCAGGCTAGCTGTTTCTGGGTTCTGACCATTCTACTGTCACATTGTCTTCTCATATACAAGCAGATAGAAACTTTTACAACAGAAATGATACTGTTGCTATGAACTCACAACTTGAGCTGTGTTTTTCAACCTATTGTTATGAAATATGAAGTGTGCCAAATTCACTATTAGCAGTCCCTGTTTGCAATGTAGCATCACACATCCTGGTGACTATCAGCAAATTACAGTAATATTGAAAACAGCTTAAAAATGAACTGATTCCTGGGCAGGTTCTGGAGCCATAAGTGTGTTTCTGTGTTCTAAGATCATAGCAGATAGTGATATCTACAGAAAGTCCCACTGGGTTTAAAAATGTCTTTTATATCTGCTCAGATTTGACTGAGTTGCTTTTAATACAGTTCATAGCAATCGGGTGCTAAGGGTTTTAAAGCAGCTTGCCTTAATGGCCTCCTGAACTGTACAGCGGCCAAGCTACAATTCACTTCCTGTTGTTTTTGGAGCATCTGCATCTACCTGCCCTTTTCACCTCACCCAGCATCTGCACCTCTGACCAGGGCAGGTAATGGTGAAAGGATCCTGCTTCCCCTCAAGGTGTAAATCTAGCCTTTGTAACTTTTTATTCAAGATAAACTTCATTTACACTCAGTTCACAGAAACACAAAGACAAATGACTACCTGAACAGATCATTCTGTTCTTCTTGTATGATTCATATGTTTGTTGTGACATTTAATTGGACTTTAAAGGAATTCATTAAGAGAAAAGACAAGTGACAAAACCTACATTAAACTGTGTGTTCAGAGAACTTCAGGAAACTTTGTGAGTTTTGGAAGAGAGGCTCTTGATACTTAAAAGAATTTATAGTTTGTCTTCTCTCTCAGTGCCGAGAAAACAGCCGCTGTCTTCCGGGTTATCGGGTTCCACATAAACACAGTAACCCCACCACACACATGCAAACAGCGTGTCCTGTCAGAATAAACTTAATTAGATTAATTAATCTGTGGTTTCCCAGGGAATATTCCTAATCAGAGGTATTAGATACTTTGTGGTTCCAATGCACTTTGTATTATTGACCACTGGACAAAACAGAAACAGGAAAGAAATGCGTTGATTTATTTTGGCGTGTCCACACATCCAGGAGATCCAGCAGGCTGCACTTTACTGCGTTGTTTAATTGGTGGGAGGGAAGAGTGTGTGCGTGTGTAGGGCTGGGGTGTATATAAGTGTGTGTAGACGGATCGAGTGCGTGTTTCTGAAAGGATGTGCCATTTGCAGCAGAGTTCGGGTTCAGACCAGGAGCTGATATAAACATATTTGGACTTTTTCTGTTTGATCGCGACTTTGACCGGTTCACTCCACTCGGTGGTCAGTCCGTGCATTTGAAACAAGCGACGTGTGTGACAGCCACAGTGTCCGGTGGTGACGGTTACGCATAGGCGGGCAGGCATCGCCGTGTTCCCGGCGGAAAGGTGGCCAACATGCTCTTCCCCTCGGAGTTCTCGTGCAACATCACGGGTAGAAACGGCACCGAGGGGTTGAACTTGACGCAGATGGAGCCCGGCGCCGCTGCGGCTGCTGGAAACATCAGCGGGCAGAGAAACACCACTGACCCGTTTGGACGAAACGAAGAGGTGGCCAAAATCGAAATCGCCGTCCTGAGCCTTGCGTTTCTCGCAGCGGTGGTGGGGAACCTGAGCGTGCTGCTGGCCATGTACAAAACCCGGCGGAAACCGTCGCGCATGCACCTGTTCATAAAGCACCTGAGCCTGGCGGACCTGGTGGTGGCGTTTTTCCAGGTGCTTCCGCAGCTCTGCTGGGAGATCACCTTCCGCTTCTACGGGCCAGACTTTCTGTGCCGCATTGTGAAGCACCTGCAGGTGCTGGGCATGTTCGCCTCCACCTACATGATGGTGATGATGACCGTGGACCGCTACATCGCCATCTGCCACCCGCTGCAGACGCTCCAGCAGACCACGCAGCGCGCGTACATCATGATTTGCTCCACCTGGGCGTGGAGCCTGGCCCTCAGCACACCGCAGTATGTTATCTTCTCCCTGAGCGAGGTGCACCCCGGCTCGGCCGTCTACGACTGCTGGGGGCATTTCATTCAACCTTGGGGGCTGCGCGCCTACATCACATGGATCACGGTCGGGATCTTCCTGGTGCCCGTCGCCGTGCTCGTGTTCTGCTACGGATTAATTTGCCGCACGATCTGGAGGAACCTCAGATATAAGACCCGGAGGAGGAGCGCAGGGGCGGTAGCACAGGGCTCCAAGAAAGACGTCCTGGGCAGGAACGCGGTCAGCAGTGTCAGCACCATCTCTCGCGCCAAATTACGCACGGTGAAGATGACGTTCGTGATCGTAGTGGTGTACGTGGTGTGTTGGGCTCCTTTTTTCACCGTGCAGATGTGGTCAGTGTGGGACGAAACCTTCTCCTGGCACGGTGAGTGTCCTGTTTGCTGAGGGGACGCCCCCTGTCCATGTACTAAACATCACCTCTATAAACCAGCAAGCCAACTTTGTGGACCCGTAAAGCGAAGCCATGGGGATGCGCCACCCTTCCTCACAGGCTACTCTAGCGTTTTAACCTTATTCCCAAGGGGACAGGCCAGCTGTATTGTAGCAGAACAAAGAATAAATAAATAAATGGAATGCATCTGTAGAACATCTGGCTGTCCGCAGTTCAACCACAAAGCGAATTTTGCTTCTCATCTTATTTCATATGAGAAATTTCTGGAGACCTGAGGAAATTTGTGGTGTGATTATTTTAATATTAGCAGCAGGATGGAAATCAACAACCATGGAATATTTGTGCAGACGCTCCTGGTCTGCTGAGGATAAATCCCAGTGAGGTGGCAAATTCATCTTTTGAGTATTTGGTTGTAAAACAAAGTACTAGAAAGTTTTAAATAAAGGACAAATATCTGCAGTATTAACATGTTTTCAAAATACATTTTAAAACACAAAAGATGTATAAATGTTACAGGTCGCAGTGAAAAATATCTCAGCTGGAAACTCGAAGCTCTGAGGAAGAAATGAAACCCAGATATTTGGCATTTCATTAGATCTCAGACATGTGCAGTCACTTTAGTGCGATTTTCATGAGACAGATGTGAGATTTTACGTCAGTCAGCCTGGAGGGGCTGCTCACCCACCTGAAGAATTTCAATATGGCTTTCAAAGACCTGCAATGGTCCAAAGAGATTTCGCCTCATTTTGCACCAGACAGGAAAGCATTTTGAGAGGAACACTGCGTTCTCATCTGGTTTTGGCCTAAAAACTGTCCAAAGTGAATGTTCGGAGCAACAGCGCCTGGAGCTTGAATCTAAAAGTCAAAATGGATCAAAAACATTCCTTTCCTGTGAGCAGTGAAATCAGTCTCTGATCCTCAACACAAACTGTATGACAAACACAAATTATTCAAAATATGTCATATATAAAAATCCCGCCAAAGTGGATTGATAAACTGATTTTTTTTCACCCAAATTGACAAAAATTAGATTTGACTTTTGATTTAAAGTGTGTGGGTTTAAATCTTGAGATGAAGCTGAGAAGGTTAGCGCAGCTGCAGACCTCACCTCTTTGTTTAGTGGTTCAAATGTATATATCACTGGAGAAAACTACCCATAAATCATAACCTATTCAAAATGTAATTAAACGAGCACTCACTGGCCACTTTATTAGGTACGCCTGTGCAGCTGTATGCACGTCAATGCAACACTTCTGCCTTATTATCTGTGTTTATGAAGCGCAACATTATTTCAGCTTTTGGTGAAACTGTCATAAATGTATAAATTTTATTACATGATTATTACTGAAGTCATAGTTAAAGGTGGCGTTGGACTGGACTGCCTTATATTCAGAGGTGTTCCTCTGAATGTAATCTAGTCCGGTATAGCACCACCTTTAACTATGACCTCAATAATAAACATATAATTGAATTTACTGAAATACGTTGATCTGACTGGGGTCGGAGCCCTCTCCTCTGTATAGGAAGGTGTTTCAGCAGCTTATTTCTGTAGCAGGATCAAATCTTCAGTGTAAAGTCCAGTGATAACATGCATCTCACACTGAGGCTGGAGGAGAGAATCAACATTTAGCAGCAGGTCAGTGACTCCGAGCTGCTGTTCAACTCCCTCCAGAGAAAGAGAGCAAACACCTCAGAGTCGCTGCTGACATCTTGGAGCACGCTTCATTAATCAGAGTCTTTCTGTTTCCCCGCAGACTCAGAGAACACCGCGGTGACGCTGTCCGCCCTGCTGGCCAGCCTCAACAGCTGCTGCAACCCCTGGATCTACATGATCTTCCCGGGCGGGCTTTGCCGGCCCCCCTGCCGTGTTGCCGCCGGCTGAAGAGCAAGTTGGGCCACCAGGATTCAGACAGCAGCATCCGCCGGACCATGCTGCTGTCCCGCCTGCAGGGTCCACGGCTTTCTGAGCCGTTCAGGGACCTCGGCCCCACCGCCACCAAAAACTGTGCACAGGTCCCATCTGCATCCTGACCAGCAGAAACACTAAAGCTGCACTCACATCCCAGTTGGAGTTTCCCAAATCAGTTTTCCCTCTCCTTGACTCATTCCTGATGTTTTCATAGAAGTGTGAACAGACCAAACCAGATGTTCTCAGATCAGATCTGGGCCACTTCCATATGTGCTCCTAGAGACCAGGACGTTCCACGTGTGGTGGACATTTACCGAGAAGCTTCTGACCAGGCTGTGGTGGACATTTACCGAGAAGCTTCTCTCCCCAGCAGTTTGGGAGGAAAGTGTCGCACACACGACCTGACTGTTACTCTTGTGTGCACGTGGCTCACATTTCAGTTACATCTGTGCATGTGTATTTAGAAGCTCAGCTGTGTTCACACCGGAGTCGGGCACATGGCGTGGACACACACGGACGTGATGCAGCAACAGAACAAGAACAGAGCTGAGCATTAAGGCCTGGGATGTGGACATGGCCTACTCGTGTGTGTGTGTGTGTGTGTGTGTGTGTGTGTGTGTGGTTAGTTAAGACAGTAAACTGGCTCTAATCTGCTGGTTTGTAGCAGCGAAGGAAGGTGTGACCTTATGTGAGGCCTGTTTGTTTTCACTGTTCTGATCCAGGGTGGAAAGGTTTGTTCTGTTGGTTCACATAATGTTGCAAGCAGAGTTTTACTAACTTCATCACTCAAGGCTGGAGCTGCCAAAACAAATGCAGTCACTTTAACTTGAGCTGTTCGCATCCAGGTCTGGTCTAATGGGAGCTTATTCATTATCATCAGTCACTTTAGCTGTGAGATGCAAGAGTGATAAAGATAAAATGTCCCTTATATGTTCACGGTAATTAAAGCTGCATTTGTCCAACTGCACACACACTGACACACAGTTACACTCATGTAACAGCTTTGTCTCTTTAGGCTTCATTCCCAAATGTGTGCTGTTGTGAAGATGTTTATTATTGTGATGTCTGCTCTGATCTATACTGTACATGTTGTCAAGAAAGATCAGTCTTATTCCTCACATGGTGCCTGACTGTTTTCTGCTTCTCTCTGTCTGCTTATATACAAACATGTTGTTTAACATGTGACACACAGGAGGGTGACACACCTGCTTTTAATTTATTTTTGATGAATGGAGAAGAAATACAGTAACAGCTATTGGCACAAGCTGAAGACAGAGCAGTGAACGATTCATCCATACAGTATATATAAACGTTTCTCACTCCATATCGACTTCTCTCAATAATTACAAGATGGATTTCCATTAGGTTTTGTACAGACACTTGTGTTCCTCTCAGGATAAACTCTAATACTCTGGTGATCCCTTAACTTCAGCTCCATCATCAAGTCCGATGTGTCCAACATGTTGTTTTAAGACCAAATATCTAAAACTTTCATACTGTACTTTGTGTTTGCTACCAATTAGCACATGTTGACACTTGTAACACATTAAGCTACAGCTGCAACTAAAGATCCTTAGCACACTGTTCCTATGGAGGTACCGTTCCCTCCTGATAAACATGGAAAGTGAAAATACAGCTTCATTGCCAAGCTAGCAGCCGTTTTTCAAGATTGAGTCCACATGTCTGTTATTATTGTTTCCAGAGGTTTGGTTTAAAATATTTTGTTCCCTGTGCTAGTGTCTTACAGTATTTGTAAGGAGCCTGGGGGCCATTCACTGTCTTTGTCTTTGTTTTCAGACCTCACTAATTCACAGTTGTCATTACTAAATGTAATGGATCTTTCTTTTAAACCCTCAAACATTATAATTGGCATCAGCTTTTAAAATCATTTCTGTATCCTGCACTATAGTACCACTAAAACCATGCTTTTTTCCGACTTTGCCCCAAATATCCTGTCACCATGACTCCGACATCTGCACAGGAGCTTTAGCTTTTTACATACACTGACAAAGAAAGTGATGTTTTCCCTCTGGGAGCACAAAGGCAGCGCAGGGTGAAGGCTGCTCTGCAGGTCTATGATTCTACTTTCTCATCTCAAACCGAGGAGCTGACGGCCTCCACAGCCTGGCCTTGATTTGTCTGAAATGAAAATGGAAATATAAGAAAAGCTGTCAGTGCTGCAATCACAAAGTGATGTGCAGGTTAAAGCAGAGAGGTCGCCTGCTGCAACAATCTCAAGGTAACTGATGTTGTGAAGACCTCACTAATCATCTATACCTATTATGCAACACATTACATCTGGTGATGTTTGACTACATTCTTTACAGGAAAACCGAGGCCCTGGAGGCTGATCTGAACCCCTGGCCAAACCTGAGAGGTGGCGATGAAAAGAGCTGTAACTCCATGTTAGAGCTGACTTGATTAGTTTGGGAAGGTGCCTCCCAACTACAAAGCTAAAGTGAACTTCCCAGTGGCCTTGCTTACTGTCTCCCTGCAGGGCCACGCTGTCACTTCACTGACCTTTGGCCCTGGTTTGAATCTAGTATGATACAGTACATACTGATAGTGTAGCTCTGGTTTGATCCAATATTCACTAGAGTTCTGGGCCACACAATCAAGGAATCGTTAAAACTCAACATAACATTTACAATTAGTATTAAAATACCATGTCTGCAGACTATAGGTTATTGGAAAGTGGTTCCACTAATTCCACATGTTTGTCCCCAAACTATAGACTGTTTACTGGTCTCTGCTGCAGTGATGGACAAAGTACTCAAATTGTTTACTTAAGTAAAAGTAATAATACCAATGTGTAAAAAGGCAAAGGTATTGCATTCAAACTATTAAGTAGAAGCACAAAAGTACTGCATTCAAAGTACACTTAAAGCAACAAAAGTAAAAATGCTCATTATGCAAAATAGCACATGAATGTAAATGTAGCTATCCCTACATCTACAGCACATGGCAGGAGCAAGAGGATGCCAAAAGGGAGGTGTCTTAAATGAGATGAGTTCAGCAGTGAGCCAGTGTTCCCAGTGCATTTTCATAAAGAGCATAAACCAGTGACTACAGGGGCATGAAATCTAAAACCCTAATTTAGTGTATCAGCAAAACCATATGTATTAACTGGTGCAGAACCTGCAAACCCAACATACTGCTTTAAACAGTCAGCCTGCTGTTTGCTTTGAGGGAATTTTAATTTCCTATCAATCACGTTGTCGCTGGGGACACATTTCATCAAAGAGCAATCGGGAAAAGGAAGTGCGTTATTAAAGACAGGAAGTGCAGATGAATGTGGCAGAAGTGACGCTGGTGTTTAAAACAGATCAGCTTTCATCATTAAAAAGCTCGGGTGGAGTCCCATCCTGCGCCCAGGGTTTAAGTGGCCTCTGTCTTTCTGTATATCACTCCGAGTCATTTTCCTTCATTTGTATTCGGTCAGTCCGTCCATCTCAAATCCTAAGCCTCCTCATTCTTCCTATCAGTCCTTTGATTACACCATTACATTTCCTCCTCTTCCTCTAAAGTCAAACCAGAACTTCCAGGTTTTGTTCTGGAGGTAATAAAACCTCATTTACAAAACACCTGTATCTATACTACCATCTACAAATATAAAGCTGGATTTTACTTTCATAAGTTTTAGAAACAGACATTTAACTTCAGGTTCTCTGAGGGCCCTCGTAGTGTTGGAGCCCTGCTTACCTCCATGTTATGCCCCTGACACTTGAAACCAAATTTTTATTCTGAAGACAAACAAATGTACAAATCGAGTGTTTCCACTGTTTATTGCCATGCGTTTGTACGTTCAGGAGGTGGGTTCCCTATCACAGGCCTCTGGTGTCATCCCACTGCTGCTTCCTGGCTCCAAGCTCTTATTTTGGTAACTTCCTTACCGCCGAGTCCAATCACCAGGCTGCTCCGTAGGCCGGCCTCACTAGACAGTTACTGGCGGTCTGTGATCTAGGCTTCACGCCTCGTCACTGGCTTCTAAGTGACTTTGTTCAGCTGTGAGCTGTGATGTGTGTTGAGGTACTGTGTGCCAGCCTTTTGCCTTTTGCTGTGCTTGGAGGTCATTACACGTCACCTCAGCTTTCCTGACCGGTGTTTGTTTTGATTCCACCTGAGTCCAAACAGGGTGACAACAACCAAATGTATTTCAGGGTCAGTGTAGTGAGTCCACTGCAAGATGAATCTAAACTCAACTGTAATTTGGGAAGTCGCAGTTGAAAGCACGTTTACGTGGGCAAAGTGAAGTGTACATGCACCATGTTATTGTTCTACTTCACTACATTTAAGAGGGAAAACGTTTTTATTCTACTGCATGCATTTTACATCTAGCTGTTTTTTTCCATATGAATGCATTAATAATAATAAAATCACTTAGAAAGATGCCAGTCATTTATCCAAATCATTTTTACTGATAAGACTGATCTTTTACACTAATGCCGATTTCTTCCTTTGGATGATCTGCAGTCTCTGCCCCACAGCTGCTTTCTGACAGACTGCAGTGGCTGGACTGAAGAAGTGGATGAGATGCCATCACTGGAAACTTGTGGGCCACAGCAGGTTAAGTCCTCCAAAACATTCCAGAATATAAATGTCTAGTTCAGGCTAGGAGAGGACCCAAATGTAGACGCAAACTGATGTTCAGTGACTAGTAACATTTAATCATATAAAAACCTAGATCAACTAAAAGAGCTCAACCTGACAAAACAAACATCTAAAGAAAACTAAGCAGCCCTGTCAGGGAGCAATATAATGAACTGAAAACATCCTTAACAAGACAAACAAACCATAAACCCAAGGTAGCAAGCAAAGGCCAAATCAACAGAGTCCATAAATGAGGCACAAGAGAGGAGAGTCCAAGAACTTACAGGAGGCAATGAAATAGGAAATAATGATGATGAGACAGGAACAAGTGGTGCAAGCGGGGTGGGATATGCAAATGAACCAACAAGTAACTGTGGGAAGTGAGGAGAATATAAAGGCTGAGACTTGGAGACAACGAACAACAGGTGTTAACCAAAGGCCACTGGCAGGGCCTGCACTGAGGGGACTTCCCATATATCACAATGTGTAGGCCTACAGTCAGTATTCAGTCTCTTTCCATTACTGCAAATTGACATTGCACAGAACTATAAGCAGTAGTGGGAAAGAGCAAATGTCAGCCTCATGTTGTGTTATCAACCTGTGAGGAATCCAGATAAGCTAATAAATAGCAATAAGATTCTCATTTATAACAATCTGAACCTGATGTGGCAGGAAGGTCAAACAGTCCAGTGGAAAGATAGCCATTCTGTGGGTCCACCATTAGCTTCAGGCTCAGGG